ACTCGCGCCTCAGCAAAAATTTTCAAGTAAGGTAAGATACCAGGAACATGAAAAAAATGTTTAAAAAATTCTATCTGTCAAAAAATTTTGACATTTATTTTTTGACATTTGACATTTTTTATATCTATTTAATGATACTGATGATCTTGTATATGTTTTTTTACAATTTTTTTGTAAAGGGACAAAAATTTTGCAAATAAAAGCCMCAAATAACATTGAACAGAGTTACAATTTAGGATACAGCTTCCTTGTTTCCTCTTTTAATAGCCTATAGCAAAAAAACTTGGAAAATTATTTTTCTAACAGAAATAAATAGAGTCAAAGTGCAAACTTTAAACCCTCATAACTTCGAAGTATTTATAGATAATTTTTTTTTACAATTTGTCCATGTTCCTGGTATCTTACCTTGTATGGCATTTTTTTCTGGAGCGCGAGTTCTGTCGCACCCTGTATACGTATACGTTTCTTTTTTTTGATATATAACGTGTCTTCAATTTAATTTTCGATATAAGTGATCTATGATTTTGAAATTAAGTTGACAACATTTGTATAGAACAGAAACAGAAGATTTAAATTTTGACATAGTTGTTAATTGTCACAGGCTTCTTTGATCAGAAATTCAATTGAAAAAACAGGGCACAAAAAGCAAATTATTTTCACGCTTATTCTCCTGTTGTCACCCATTGCGTCCCCTCCTCTTTTAATAAAAATATCTCTTCGACAAATCTCCGAACGTGCACCTGACAGCTCTCGATCCCCGATAACGCTTGTCACTATTAAAATACCTCATCTGCATGTGTCATAACAGGTGAAATCCCATAATTGACAAGTCCCAATTATTTGTCAGGATGTTCGCGGTGACGCGTTGCGGTCGCTGCCAGGCGGGCATCTCCGCCAACGAGCTGGTGATGCGGGCGAGAGACTCCGTCTACCACCTGCACTGCTTCTCGTGCACCTCCTGCGGGATCCCGCTGTCCAAAGGAGACCACTTTGGGATGAGAGATGGGCTTATTTACTGTCGGCCGCATTACGAGTTGCTGGATTTCTGCGATACGAGCGATCCGGTGGAGATGATGTTCAGAGGGAGCGAGTCACCGCCGGGGTATTTTGCCAATGCAACGCCGCAGCATCATAAGGGGCGGCCGAGGAAAAGGAAGATGCCAGTGGAAGATCGGGGGTGCGGGGAGATTCCGGTGACGATGAGGATGGCGGCGGCGACGTTAGGTAAGCCACTAACTATAATTATGATAACTACTGTTTTCTCGTGTTTAGATAAAAGTTACTAATTGGTAAAATCTCGTACACAATAATTAACAATRTAGGAAAAATTCCAAGCGTTTCAATTAAGTAAAAAAATTTCAGGATTTGAGTTTAACGTGATATGTCCCAAATTTTTATAACAAGTTTTTTTTATTATAATACTATTTTATTCACAATCATCTTTTTAAAGAACAGAAAACCAATAAAAAAATTCAAATTTTAAAATTGCGTTTTACGTTTTTATKAGGTAAGTAAGTAATAAATCAAATATCTTTTTGTAAACAAACATATGTGTTTGTTCTTTGATTGTACCTGCAGAAAAATATCCGATATTAATGATAATAATARTGAAATAGAATGTACTTCTCCTGAGCTYAGGAAAGTTGCAGAAGGAACAACTAAAAATTTAAAAAACATAAGAAAACTGATAAGAAAGTGAGCACTTTCCAACCTGAATTATCATAATTTATATCAATTGTTGAAATGTCATACAGCATGCTTTACAGCTTTTCACATGCAAGGTAATTTAATTATTTACTTTATGATTGTGAATAAAAAATGAAAGGCACTTGATAGGAAAAATAAGTTTCGGGAAAATTAGTAGACCTTCYGTTTCTTTATTTTTAAGGTCGTCTTAATTCCAAAGTCATAGACTAAAAATCAGATCGAAAATTTAATTAAGGAAATATACACATAGTAATTTTTTAAAAATAGAGAGACAGAAAATATGAAAATTAATATGACTTCTATAT